CATTCTGACAAGTTAGAGTCTGTTCAATAACAATTTTTACTTTTCGCCTTAGGACATTTCCGATGGGATTCTAGGGCAAGTCTGGCTTGATACACTAATCCTTTAAAACTACTGTGATCAAATTTCGAATTAAACGAACCATTCCGCCGTATATATATGCACATTAGACTTATCTGATTCACTTTTCAAAATTAAAAAGACTTTATTGCTTTCTCTCAATAAATAAAATGTAACAATTTATTATATCGTAACTATAAATCTTAGCTGTTGAAATTTTTGTTTCTGTAGCTGAGCAGTTTTGGATCTCAACACTTGAAAAACTCTATTTCCTTTTCTGACTCGTCTAATTCCGGACGTATGCGGATTGCGCCCCTCGCGTCGGTTGAACGGAAGGAAGGCAATCGTTGGGTTATTATTATTTCTGACCAATCGACAGCCTCTGATTCGACCTGCACTCTGGTGGCTTCTTGTCCTTAACCAAAATATGCCACTGCTGCTTAGCCGCCTTTGCGTGCTGGATATTAATTTGAGGGATCAAATTCAAGCGCTCGAAACTGAAGATGGTTTCATCCACCGACGATCCTCCTCCTGCGGTCGCCGCATCCGAAGGGAGAGGGTCGATCTCCATACCCGTTTAGATCTCATCTACCGTTTCTTCCGTCACCACTAGAGACTGCGTGTTATCTGCACTGGCTTCTGTAGGGAAGATCCTAAGAACTACCCTTTCGAAGCCGTAGCTAAGAGAACCTACGAATTACCTTACCGATAAGGTTCCTGTCATGGGTGGGTAGAGCAAAGTTGCAGTAGCCTAACATTTCTTCGATTTCTTAGAGGGTTCGGCAGGGAGCCAGAAACGTGTCCGAGGACGCAACGGAAGGACTTCGGGCACTCTTCGAGTCTTGCTCCCTTTCATACTTCCCTCATCCTGACTCCGATGTCATCCGGCACTCACGAATATAGTCGCCGTTACTCCTACCACTTTTCTCGGGAGATGGCTCCATCTTCCCTGTTACGGTCGTACACATCAAGCTCAATTAAGCTGGCACGTTTAGCGAAATCGCTAAGCTTTAGCGAGCAGTCAACATATGAAAGCCAGGCAGATACTGTGGCCAGACGAGGGTAGCTAGGGCATCATATACGTGCTTTAATTGCGTTGCCAAGGGATATCGAAGGATTTTTGAATTAAACAATTATAGTAAACGCAATGAAAGTTGTCAGAGAGAAAGACTGAGCAAGGTTACAGTATACAACTTATTTATGACTTAAGCCCGAATTTATATAAATAACGGTATTTGAGAGAGTAGCGAATCAAAAATTATATATACACAATTCTGTTTTTACCGTAGATTGATTCCAGAAAAACCGATGTAAAAAAACATTGATCGTATGCAAAAATATATGATTGGTTTCTTATCTTTAAAACCTATTAGAATTAGTGAAAAATATGAATTTTTTAAGAACAAGTATTAATGTTTATTTTATTAAATAAAATGTGTACACAAGCATAGTTATTCAAGAAAAAAAGATATGCACTCTAAGCTTTAAAGTAGCTCTAGGCTATTTGTGAACATACGACGGTCTTTATGATCCCGATTTAGGAGTTCTAGGCATCGTAACGGACAAGCGTCTCTAGCCGACCAAGTGGGATTATTTGTGGTCTCAAGAATATCAGCTTATTTACCTAAACTTAAAAGTAATGTAAATTAAATGTATGACAAATTCAGGACCTAAAAACAATTATTAAAAAATTTAAAAAAAATATTAAAATGATAATCATAAAAACGGGAACATAAATTTAATTGCTTTGAATGGTTCTAAAAACACTATCATCGCTGAAATAAATTTGAACTGGACTTTCTCTTTCATGTTCGGCATCTATATTTTTAACAGTAAACTGACCAGTAAACTTGCTTCTATTCACAAAAAGGGAATTCCTCTTAATTTGGGATATGAATATATTTCGCAAAAATTAAATCTGACAAATAAAATTTAAGCCCAAATTTTAAATCGTGTTAAATGTAGTGTAAAATCAGAATTAAGTGTACATTCATTTAGGCAAATTAAACCATCTTATATGTTTGCAAGGTTCGAAAAATAAGAATGAGATTTTGCTAAAACAAATATTGAATTAGAACTAAACAGGACGTATGAATTCATGATCAAAAGTGGATGTGGCATATTTATTTAAGCAAATTTTCGATTCCAGCAATCCTACATCTTCTATAAAGATTCAAATATTTCTATATTTACGCTTCTGTATTTCTTATTCATTCCATCCACCTTGTGGTTACCAACGTTTTTCTACTTGTATTTCAAATCCTAAAAATGCGTTTAAAAATGTATATAATATAATTGTTTAGTACTGGACTAGTACCGCTTTTGAAAATCGCATAGTTTTTACGGAATACAATATATAAATACGAATATATACAGATATTAATCTAATCGTATATCTGAGAACATTTGATGCACCTCTTCACCTTCACACACGCATGTCTGTATGGAAGTAAACATTATGCTTCTGTATTTTTATCGCCATGTAAATGCCAGGGAAACCAGGTGAATTTTAAGCATTTGAGGGTAAATGAATGAACTGTGAAAACAAGCAAACAAATAACATTACAATTGAGCACGTTCGAAATTAAATGAACTGCATCAAGGAAACAAGAATGCAAACAGCGACAAAGAGGCAATGGTTGAAGAAGTTGATGTCAGCCGCATCACAGCATGCACAGCTTCATGTATATTTATAAATATATGTACATACATATCTCACTTCTCGGTTGTTACTCACAATCTGGGTAATTTTTACATGCGTTATAATAGCAGTAATTGTGGTACGGGTCCGATGAACTAATTTACCAATTTCCCATATGTTCTTACGAGAATGCTGTTTATAAGCATTAAATATAATTTAATAGAAGAAGTAAGAGCGCCCAAATTTTTTTTATTATACTCTTGTAACATGTTCCTATAGAGTATAATAGTTATATGCACCTAACGGTTTTTTGTATTACCTAAAAATAGTCGAGTTAGATATAGGTTTATATATTTATATATAAATGATCGGGATGACGAGGCGAGTTAAAATCTGAGTGACTGTCTGTCTATCTGTCCATCCGTCTGCGCGAGCAATAACTTTAGTAAAATGGAAGATATCTTAATGATAATAGATGGGCGTAATCGGACCACTGCCACGCTCACAAAACGCCATTAAACTAAAATTGCGATAATTTAATAACGAAGTGCGTCAGCGAGATTAAATTTTATATCCAAGATGACAAAATAAAGCTAAATAGGAACAGGTGTCAAAATCGGAAAATGGGCGGGGCACCGCCCACATTTTGGTGAAATTACATATCATATAATAACAATCTTAAATTCTACTTATTCTTTCACTTTTTAAAACACAAATCAAGCAATAATGAATATATTCGGATAAAACTTTGCACAAAAAATGCTTTTGAGGTGTGCCATCTCGGGTCTAAAAATCGTCAAACTCAGATCATAACTGTTCAAGCTCCCACTTATCGACCAGTGCGTTTGGCTGACTTTTTGGCGAATATATCGGTCAATAATCGAAATATGTTATTAAAATTCGGTGCAAATGTTTCTTTGATAATAATATACCCTTCTGTAAAAATAGATTGAATAGGATCAATACTTCCTTTAGTTCACATATACATAATAATATAAAGATTTTTGAACTTCCTGTATATATATATCGGCCAATGTGCTAGTTATTTTATTGAAATTGAGAAAGCGTGTTTTTTAATAACAGTGAATTTTAGTGCCTAAAATCGTTAAAATCAGACGGAAACTTGCCTTAGCCCCCTTATAACTGATATTCACGATTTTGAAACGTGCGGCTGACATAAATATGTTATTATTTATAAAATTGCTTGAAAATAATTTATCAAGTATACCAGAGCAATGTCAAAACTTAACCCATTTAGCCCTTCCACTTCTATGGCCCCAGTGAGTTTAGTATAATTTTTACTGACGGGAAGTAAAATATAGTAATAAAACTAAGTGAGTATATGGCTTTCAAAATAAGTGAATAAGATACCATATTTGATGGTATATTCACCATTTCGTCGAACAGTGAAGTTAAACCTTTTCACTATATTTCTTAACAAAAAGTTTTGTCTACACCTGAAGGTATTGTCCCGTCTTAGATCCATGTAAGTTGCAAGAGCATAAAATATTCGGTTACTCCTGAAATTAGCCTTCCCTTACTTGTTTATTTTCTATTTTTACTAAAAGATCAGGACGAATGGAATGAGGGTGATTTTTGACCATCAGTGTATATAGTAATTGCAGACAAAAATGTAACCAAATAAGTTTCAAACCAACAAGCGGCGTAAAAATTATGAAATTTCGTCAGTTCTTGGTAGTATTGATTTGGATAATCTTGTTTGGTAGTCAAACGTACATGCATATTAGAGGGTCTGTTATTTCCCAAGTAGATTGTGTTTGTGCAAACGCTACCTGCAGTCTCAGCTTTTGTCCTAAAAGTAAGGATCCATCGTAAACAAGCCTTTTATTTTCAGTTTAAACCTTGCCTAAATCATATTTCTTTTCTCATGTACGAGTATATGGTATAACATGGGATTTTTTAATATCTTGCATTAAAGAAGTAAACCTAAAACCTTGGAAAAATTATATTCTAGTACAAAATTACCCGCTCTTCAAAGACATTCTTTCAAAAGCTATATGCAGCTGGAGTTATACATACATCAACTGACCTGAGCATTCATACAAGTGATTTATCAATATCATAAATATGATACATTCTGTATTGCTCATACGCCATGGTGTACTGTATGAATACACAATAAGTAAAAGTATGTAATATGTATGACACTGCTACCCGCTCTTTCTAAAATAATAAGTACTATAAATTAATATCTTTAAATAAAAGTTAACACTAGTATTATTATCTGTACTGTTACATATTTCCTTAATTTTTTAATACTGAATTTATGTTCTCAAATTAATTTGTTTTATTTACTTTTTTATTAATACTTTTATTTATTAATTTTTTACTTTCTTTACAGTTTGGTGAATTGGACAATGGAGAATGCCCCACAGGTTCGCAGAGTACTTACAGAAGCTCTTAGTGTGTGGGCTCACAGTTCCAAATTGACTTTTAGAGAAGTGAGAAGCGATCAAGCCGATATCCAAGTGCTTTTTGCCCGGTGAGTACAATAAGCAAAAATGCACCAAGCCTTAAACCCCGATTCCACTGGCTTACCTTATTTAATTCCAAACCATCAAATCAAAACCATTTCATAAAAACATCTTTTACAACAAACTCGCTCGAAAGTAACAGAATAATCGTCGTTCATTCATGCTGGCTGACATTGACTCACATTTACTTGGCTATTGCAAGCGCATTTGGTTTTTTTTGTGCTAAATATCACAACCGCTCAGCGTTAACGCCGACGTGGCATCCCTAAATATGGTATACCGGCAACTTTACGTCAAGTTCTCACTTAAATTCTAAAATGAATACAAAAGAAAACAAATATTAAACGAATTAATTTATTAATAGTACTTATATCATAATGTGGAAAAGCCATTGGGTGTACAGATATATTGTCGGCGGTCGTAGAATACAAGGTGGCCCTAACGCACTTACCCATCTCCAATTTCAATCTTCATTACTGGAATTTAATGGCGCATATGGTGATTTGACTATGTTCACTGTAGTAGGATGGCTAAGTATAGACAAATATTAGGTAAAGTAAAAAGTTCGTTCGGTTTTTATCTAAGAGATGGCGTTATTGTCCATAGTATTAGTGTTAAGTGTCGCATATACTATTCGCGCTAAAAGTTTGTCTTTGACAGTTTTTCGATTGATTTACTCAGTTCGTTGTGAGCGCTCGTCAAAGATGGACACCAGCAAAGAGAAAATTCGCTATATTTTACAATTTTTCTTCGATCAAGGCGAAAAAGCAGCCAAAGCAACTGAAAAAATTAATTTAGTTTATGGGCCCGATACTTTAAACGAACGTGTAGCACAAAAGTGGTTTGATAGGTTCCGTTCCGGTAATTTCGATGTCAAAGATGCACCACGCGTCGGGAGGCTTGTCGTCGAAAATTGCGATAAAATCATGAAAATAGTGGAAACAGACCGTCACGTGAGCACTAATTTAATTGCTTAGGAACTAAAGATAAGCCAGAAAACCGTTTGGAACCATTTGCATAACCTTGGATTCAAAAAGAAGCTCGATGTTTGGGTGCCACACGAACTAACGCAAAAAAACATGATGGACCGAATTTCCATCTGCGAATCGCTGCTGAATCGCAAGAAAATCGACCCGTTTCTGAAGCGGATTGTGACTGGCGATGAAAAATAGGTCACTTACGACAACACATCGAGCGCAAACGGTCGTGGTCAAAGCTCGGGGAAGCGGACCAGACGGTGGCCAAGACCGGATTGACGGCCAGGAAGGTTTTGCTGTGTGTTTGGTGGGATTGGCAAGGAATCATCTACTACGAGCTGCTCCAATATGGCCAAACGCTCAATTCGGCCCTCTACTGCCAACAACTGAACCGCTTGAAGGCAGCACTCATCCAGAAGAGGCCATCTTTGATCAACAGAGGCCGAATTGTGTTCCATCAGGACAACACCAGGTCACACACGTCTTTGGTGACTCGCCAGAAGCTCCTGGAGCTCAGATCGGAGGTCCTAATGCACTCACCTTATAGTCCGAACCTGGCACCAAGTGATTACCAGCTGTCCATGGCGAACGCGCTTAATGGTGAGAAGTTAGCCTCAAGAGAGGCCTGTGAAAATTGGCTCTCCAAGTTTTTTGCCAATAGGGACGCAGCCTTCTACGAGAGGGGTATAATGAAGTTGGCATCTCGTTGGCAACAAGTTTATGAACAAAACGGCACATATTTGACTTAAATCGGACAAATGCACACAAAGTTATCATCTTTTGAAAAATCAATAAAAAACCGAACGAACTTTTTACTTTACGTAATATAATATATCCAGTGCTTTTCTCCTTTCGATAGAATGTTTTGAATTTTCTTCCATGAAATGTCAAATATTCAAAGCTTCTACAATCTAAGCTAAAAAGCCTACAGTTCCTTTGTGATTCAGCTTTTTTGGCGGATTTACTCAAACATTTAATATACTCAATTCCTAGGTTCAAAAACGTGTGCACTATATGTGGAAATAATATTATATAATTATTTAATGACTAGAAAACTAAACTAAATATGTTTCAGCTAAATTTAGCAAAAAACTAACTCCTTAATTTTCAATCGTGTAAAGGAATTCAAACTCAACCAAAGAAAGAAAGCTGATATTTTTTTAAAACCTATTGTTAATTATTATTATTAATTTATTTTTCTCGCATTATAAAAATTGCCAATTATTTTAAGCTAACATATTAAATCGATATAAACTGACCGATCAAAGCTCTAGTAAGGAATAATTTATATTTGTGAAGGGTATTATTCGGTGCAAACGAAATTATTTTTGGAACCTTGATTTTTAGATATAATAAATTTCTTCGTTATTTAACAGTGTACCTTGAATTGTTGCACAATTTGTTGATATGTACAGATATGTATGTTCAAGTGCAAGGCTGCTTTTACTATTTAGCATTGCTTTTGTTAGTTCAGTAGAAGTATAACTTTGTGTCGCTTTTTTATCTTTCCGAGAACTATGTTGTTGTTTTTATTGATGTTGTTGACGTGTGTCTAGGAGTTAAATTTTGTGGTCACCGGTGCATTAAAAGGTCGTTCAGTAGAGGATTTACTCTATTACTTAGCTAATATGCCAGGCAAGTTAATCTACTGGCTTACTTATTGAAAGCCACTACTCATTCTTGACAGTGTCCATTCACATTGCAGAAGCCGTAATTATTTTTCTCACGAAAAGCAAAAATTTGCAAACTAAAATAAAAGAACTGAATTTGTACGTATTTCGACGAAATTTTGTATAAACATATAATATATATGTATGTATATACGAGTATATGTAAAAAATAATATGCATTTTGTACGTTGGCAACAAATATAAACACACGGCATACATGTCACACATACGGCCTGAGGAGCATTTTCTATGTACTATACATATGTATGTATAAATTTGTTATGCAAAATAGCAATTTTTGCTTGATTGACTTTTAATCAATATGACAGCTGCAATAGCGACACAATGTAATTGAATAGAATTAACGAAATTTACGGCAGCAGCCGACACAAATACATACACACATACAAAGTGGTTTATGTGATTCAGATTTATGAAAATGACTTTACACTCAATATTCCGCTTCAAATACTTTTTACCTTGATGATTTTTTCGATTTTACCATTTACATAGACATACATATACATATTAAATAAACAGCTATCAACATATTCTTCTTGTGCATATAATCTCATTACTTGTTTGGTGTTTATGTTGGTTTGTAAAAATTATAAAGTTAATTATTCATGTATGCATTTCATCTTGTCGAAACGTTTATTAAGACTAAAAATTTGCTGAAATTCTTTCACCAAGTTAGCTAACCTGATAAAAGGCAGAGCGGCAACCTGCCTGATGATGTACTTGTAGTAAAGAGAATATAAGTGGGTATTGTAATCTCAGAGCCCCTTCTCTACTCGATTAAAAAAACACGGGTCGGCTTTTGAATACCGTCCCAGGATTTCGGTAATAAAATTGGTATGGGCGGATAGAAGAGGACCTCCAGGTCAAGAATATATTTAGCCGCGGGAAACTTATAGTTTTTGAGATATTTACGTTTAAAGTTGAAAATTTCAATATTTAAAGTACGTATTTTTTCGATTTAAAATGAATTATACACTTATATATTTCACTTTTATATCCACTAACATTTCACTAATTCGTTTTTAGACATTTATTTTATATTATATTATGCAAAAATAGCTTTATTTCAATATTTAAATCATCTTCATCTTCATCTTCAATTCTATTAATTTTGATAATAACAAAAGGGTTGGAAATGTCAAAATATATTCTTGATCTGAAGGATCTCCTCTATCCGCCCATACCCATTTTATTCCCGAAATCCTGGGATGGTATTCTAAAGTTTTCCCAAAAAAAAAACTATTTTAATAAAAGAAACCTACCATTCGTCATTCCCTAGTAGCAAATTGTATATATTCTGCTCTTCAAAGACTAAAGTTTTCTTACTACTATGTTGTCTAATAAACCATAAAACAGTTTCATTTATGACTTTTATTTATTATTTTTTTGTAGCGGAGACCATGGCGATGGCTATAAATTCGATGGACCTGGTATGGTGCTTGCTCATGCTTTCTACCCCGGAGTGGGTCGCGGCGGTGATGCACATTTTGATGCCGATGAGAAATGGCATTTTAGCAGGGGCGAAAGAGGCGATTGTAAGTACTTCCTAAAGAAATATACATACTTGTATGTACACATTAAATTGCAGTTAATATATGAGAGAACTGAAAACGTATATATACTTAAGCAATACACGTCATTACAAATCAATTAGCATATCGCTAATTTAAACGCAAAAGTATCGTGTCTTCATTGTTTAAGCTAGGGTACATATGTGCTAAAGAATATCTTAATACACTCATTCAGGTATCATATTGAAATTGCAAAAAACTACTGAAAATACCGCTGCAACCCTTTATGCGTGGAAAACGGTGATGATGATCGAGATAGTTGCCACTTTAAAGCATCGTGTTGGACTAATCGTTCATTAAAGTTCGGGTATGCGTAAGATCTGTATATGGGTTGATGAAAGTGCCCTTCAAATTGCTTCCGTGATTTTCTTTAAAACAATTCGAAATTTTCAGCTTGCCTGTTATATAAAGTAATAATTTTTATTTTAATAGTGGTCCAATTATTACTACATTCAAACTCAGATTTCCACCAGGAATATTTTAATACGCAATTAAGCAACAGAGGTAACGATAAAATAATTATTTTCTGGTCGATGAGCTTTTTGTCCACATTTGAATTGGAGACAACATGCGCTTTTGGCCACTGACAGCTATTCAAAAGCAATTAGAGAAATTAACTATAATATAAAATTTCTATAAACTTACTTTAATTTGTACACTTATCAAACTAATGCGTAATACCATTTAATGAAATCGGAATAAAATAACGCGCATCGCCTCTACAGAATTTATACAGATGGATAAAGTAATTTGGAAACGAATGAGAAATGAGAATTTTTATAAGCTTAATTTAGACAAAGTTCACGACATTAAACTTTGCGTTATCGATGTCTACTGTCGCCTTCTTTTCACAATTTTTACTTTTTATTCTTGTGTCTTTAAGGCATTTACCATATAAACTGGATACAATGTCATCGTGTGATGTAAGGAAACTAACCGATTTTATCGACTTTATTATAACCGTCATTTCCGTTGCCAACATAACGGCTTCTTATGCGAAATGTCATCATCAATGCTAATGGCAAAGGCAGCCACAAGCGATGCGTTGCATGTATGGATGTATGATTACGCATTCCACCACGCAGCCATTTTTGGCAAGTTCAATATAAAAATCCTTGCGACGCCAAATAATTTAGCCACTGCATCCAGCTAGTGGTACATCCGTGGCCGTAGAAAGCTCGTAAAATGTTGTAGCTAGTGTAGCTTGTGGCGTCTTGGTGTTGGTTATGACAATTTTATTGGCATTAATAAAATGTCAAATGTTGCACAATGCAAGCCGCGATTCGTTTCCATATCGTTGCATTACATACTCGCATAGCTCAGTGCAACTATGAGATATCCTCCGGCGGAAGCTTATGCCTTAGTCTTTCAAAAGCGAAGATAATGTCAACCTCCGCTGTGACTCTATTTGAAATTTACTTGAGTCAACTAAATTGCGAATGCGATTATAATTTCGTCCACTTGGAGAAAATATCTTTCTTTTGCTGAGCACGCATTTCCTTAAGAAACAATGACGCCACTTTAACTGTGCAAATGGTAGTCTGCACATATACATACATATATAATACTTAAATACATAATTGGTAGAGGCTGGGTAGAAGAGCTTTAAGGGTTGCTAAAAATTTGAACTCGGGACTATTGCCACAGCATGAATGTGAAAAAACGGAAGTAATCGGATAACAATTGTCAATGTAAGAAAAGTAATCAAAGAAACTAATAATCGGCTTATAGCATTTTTACTAGGGATGCAAAACACATATCAATTATCTAAATGTCCGCGGGATGCTTATGTGAAATTTAAGTCTTCTACGAACTAACAGGTTTCTACCCCTAATGTATAAAACTTCTTTTATATATATTCGGGCTTAGTAACCAAGGGTACTTATTCACAATTTTAAGTTCCGTATGGTTACTGGCCTCGGTATATTTAAAAACAGTCCTGCATTTCAGAAACACTGTTTACAGTAACTGACAGCATTGCTAAAATTTGTGCAGGAATAAAGAAATTTAAAAAAAATTATGCTTATTGAAATTTAAAATTATTCGGCAAATTACTAGAGACATTGGACATTACATTATATATATCAGCTGATTAAGTTAATTAATATGGACGATTCTAAATGATCTGAAAAACTATATATTAATTATGATTTTATAAGAATGCGACGTTTAGGCGCAATTTTTACAATAATAGAGATTAGTCTAATCATATCAATACGTCAACAGACGTTGTAAATTAATTTTTTTATTTAATATTTGTTAGTTAATAACAAAAAATAAAACGAAAAAAATATTATAGAACACGGACTTTTTGAAGGTCAATTTTGATCAATTATTCAATTGGACACAATCTTAAATAAATAAAAAAAAAGTTACAAACTTCTCGCTTAAATAAATTCTTCAAACTCGCTCTTTAAAAGTACTAAATATCTTAAACGTAGAACATGCCACATTGCACCATTAAGAATTAACCGTAATATAGGGTCTACCAACCAGAACGACGGAATGTTAAAATAATATAAAACCCTCAAATTTGCCTCAAAGGTGCGCAACTATGGAAGTGCGCAAATGATAGAAGCATAAAAACTGTGACTACCAATAGGGCTGACGTGATTTAGACACCTCCTGTCGGCCATGTTTTATACGGATTTGTGTCAACTTTTGTCAGCGTGTTCAGTAAGGTTTGTCATTTCATCGTGAAACGTTTCACTATAAAAACGCTTGAAAATTGTCCAAGATTTATTATGCAAACTCACGTCTTCCGGTGGCTACTGTAAGAGCTCTTCGCGCAAAACACGGTATTCTCAGATGAGGCCCATTTCTGGCTTAATGGCTTCGTCAACAAACAAAATTGTCGCTATTGGGATGAGACTAGTCTTCGAGTGGTTGAAAAAACGCAATTGCATCCCAAAAAATTTACCGTTTAGTGCGGATTGTGGTATAGTCTATTTCCAACAATAAGGTGCACTGCCTCATGTTTCACATCTAAACATTGACACATTGCGTACAAAGTTTGCGACTCGTTAATTTTAAAAAACGGCCCAACCAAATAGCTGCAAGATCATGCGATTTAACGCTTTTATATTATTTTCTATGTGGGTATGTTATATCAAAGGCTTACGCCAATCAACGGATCTCGAAGACAACATTTAGCGCACTATAACCGAAATGCTGCATCGGGTCATCGAAAATTGGCATAAACGGGTGGAGATGTGCAATTGGAGCCGTTGAGGCCATTTGGCCAACATTTTGCTCAAATTATAAATGGCATAACAAACACAAATGAAAAACATTTTGACCAAATTAAAATTATTTACTTTATTATTCAACGTTTTCAAATTAAGGTGCTAAGCGGTATTGTTAAGGCTACCTGTTACATCAAAAACGCTGATATGATGATTCAAACATTGTTATCGTTTCAAAAATGTTTGTAATAATAAAAATATCAAAAATAAACTCCTCTAAGTAAGTAGTTTATGATGCGTGATTATATTAACAGCAATAGCAATACATAATAATAGTATGAGGTTTTAAGTAACTAAAATGTATCCTTTCGACGTTTTTGGAAAAGACCGGCCATATACAACTGCCCACCTTTGATGTTTATTTGCACTTAATTAAATCTTTAAACAAATGAAAATTGAAGCAAAACTCTCATTCTGCCAGGTTCCTTTTGAAACTGTCCCTTATAAATTAGTGGAATCGTCCAAAATTTTTTGTTTATTTTTCAATAATTAACGCTATCTGTTTAAATGAGATAAGCCTCCCTTACACATAACAACCACTCTACTCAGCATAATCTGGCACCCTACACACATTCCGCATGCCAGCATTCTTTGCGCAATTCGGTCACTCAACTTACTTCGGACACCGCCAATCGTCTTAAAAATATTATTAACGCTTTTCTCGAATTATAGTGTATCAATTAACAATAAAATAACCTAAACTTAAGTTTAGTTGTACCCTTTAAATACGCGGGCATTTTTATTAAACGATCGGGGAAGTTGTGATAAGGTTATAGATTTTGATAACTAAAATCAAATAAAGAGGTGTGCTCCCCAATAAATTGGTTTCTTGGCGCTGAAGTATTTGTCTTACAAGACTTTAACGCCTTTTGTGAACTTTAAGAGCGACTTATGATATTTTGATTCTTCAGCTAGGTAGATATCTAAGACGAGTTCTAGATAAGCCTGGACAGAAGCATAAAATGTGTCTTGTGTCAGCGTCTCACTCATGCCTACTTCCCTGCACTTTCTGCATGCATCATCGCTACTAATGAATATTCGGCTCGCATGTGATGCCCGACATGACCTATGATTAGGCCAACAACCGTCTTGCAGTCCTCTCGAGACCGTTTGAGTAAAAAGTATGCGTGTTTTCTTCGGGATTCTTACACATGATCTTGGCTATCCTGCATGTCTTTAAGAGATTCCAACTCACCCTGATTCGTCCGTCAACCCTCTCATAATATTCATTACGTATCGTTTTTAGCGACTTCCGTATTTCCTGTACTGGTTCGGTAGCCAGACGGATTGCACTTTTGACAATATAGGTGATGAGTTATTCGTACAACAGTTAAACTACCGTTGGTTTACCGAAACCTATTTTTTTGCAAAGATTGCGAAGTTCAAGATAAAAATAAAGCAGCGTTCGCAATATCGAATAATTAAAATTCTTTGTGTTCGTAATATGGAAACGTCAATTAGATAATTTTGATGGTTCGTTAAACCGAAAATTCGTTATTTCGAAAGTTCGTTATACTGGACGACCACAGTATAATAAAATTTAAGAATCATGTATCAGGGAATTCGTAATAAAGTTTATGAAATTATTGATATTATTCAGTGCTTAATTTTTGGTGTACATACATATATACATAACTAGTTTACATCTTATTATATAAATATACATACATACATACCAACATAAGACCGGAGATACATGAGTATAAACAAGTTAAACTAATCCATATTTTATGTACTTACGTGCGTCCGTTTGCATAGGTTCATCGCGGTTACATTCAGTATACCCCATGGAAGCACACAACGAACCACACGAATACACATTTTCGTAGGAGTAATTATCCGCAAACAAATTTCATATCGTTCAACTCGGTAATAGTACAGCCACTCCGCATTCACCCAGTCCCTCTATATGCTACTTACTCCATATACGTATACAATTTGACGTGCATATTTACGTTGTGGAACGGTAAACAGATGTTGCAATCAACTACGGCCAATAGTGTTGTAGCTATGTATGTATGCATACTGCCACCAATTCCACCAATAATAGTGTCAGCTTTGCTGCGCAGCTTGGAACCCTGCCAGTGGTCGCCAAACCGCATCACGCCATGTGTGTTGTCACTAATGTAATTAATTTGCGAAAATGGTTAATTTACTTGATAAATGCGCGTTATAACAGCTTGTTGCTACGATCAAACACACCCAAGCGTACAAACAAATCTCCAAATACAAGTAGGAACTGCTCTGAACCGTGTGCTGTACTATAAATGAACAGGCCACAGCGGAAACGAACAGCGGATTAGCTAACCAGCCCTTTCCCACAGCAACTACAACATCAGTTTCAATAATCAACGCCTTTTGCTGTTCTGTTTTTGGTTGACCGCAGCCATAGAGGTGGCTGTTGCTACCGCTATTGTTGGTTGCTGGCCAAAATCGACACAATATTTGTATTTGCTTCATTGACGATTTCACCAATAAATCATTAAAAAAAAAGTTCGTTAGCACAATTGGAATTGTAGGTGTATTGCTACTTACACCACAACGCCACTGTTGCCACTATTTGAACTAGAATAAAATGTTTTCTGAAATGGCGCAAAGGAGCACAAGCCCTTGAAATGAACTCATTCGTATAAACATCAAAGCCATAACCAAAATCTAGGACAAGTACATAAATCAAATGGTATTGCTTACACATTGCAAACATTTGTTCTTTCGGATTTGACAATGAAAATTACTATGAGCTGCACGATAAGTCGAAGCTGGAATATATTAACTGAAACATTTTAATATTTCTAATGCAATTTAGTTTTAAAATTCTATTATTATGCATTTCGAAGAACAAAAGTTTGGAACAAAGTTTTGGTTACAGATGAGCTACACGTTTTGGATGTGTTGAATAAATAGTTAGTTTGTTTGCTATTATCCGGTGGATCAAATCAAAGCATCAATATTTTTTTGTAACATAAGGAAGCAACTTATGTCGTTTGTTGATTTTTTTCAATTCTATTAAATTAAAATACATACCTTCACAGCTCAGCATAATGCAACTAACTCCTATTATATTGTATATACAATGCTCAATCATCGACTGATACTCAAAGCGAATTGTTGTGTTTTGTGCTATTGGTGATATTCCCACACTTTCTTTTTCGTGAGTGCGTTCTAACTTCAAGGACTTATTAAAGCACGTGTTAAAGAGTGTTTGTATTATAGTACAGGGAACTTTAAGAGATATGCCCCCTGGGGGACACTCTCTTGGTGATAACAGGTTCACCCTGATATCAACAAGCCCTACATCGAAAAAAAAAACCCACGGAATTCCCATTAACGATTGTAAAAAACAACAACATAGCCCAAAAATTCATAAAAACAAAAAAATTACATTGCATATGCAATGTAGAAATAAAACTCCACAACTACACGAAAGGAACAATTTACGCACCATGTCTTAATGAAATACCAGACGATGAAATCATTGAACATTGAAAAGAACAGGGTGTAGTATCAATTTTCAAATTTCCTAAATATATAAATCAAAAGCCAGTACCAAGTGGAGTTGTTCTTCTTACCTTTGATAACCTGATTACCTGAAAAAATTGAAGTGTCTTGGTACACAACTAAGGTAAGGCCATAATATCCTAACCCACCCTCTCACCAACCCACGCCTTGCACTCGTTCCTTTTGCATTAACTATTCTGGTAATCACCCATCTTCGGACAAAACATGTCCCAAATTTATAGAAATGAAACAAATTATAACCATGAAAACAGACAAAAAGTGCTCCATGCGGGAAGTAATAAAAATACAAAAAACACAGTTTACTCCTTCTCTCAGTGAAAACTCCGCTACATTCGCTAGTATAACAAAAAATACTATCAACAATTTAAAAGAAAACAATTTCATGCAAATCTCTTCTACAGAAAACATTCCGTCCTCTATAAATAACAAATCTACCAAAAATTATAATGAAACACAAGAAAAAGAAGTAAACGGAAACAATTACAACCCGGGCAAATAAGACAAATACAACAACAACAGCATCGACTGATTCTCAAATCCACGCAATGAACTCCTCATTGATCTCACACTTTATAGCTCCCGTACTAACAACACCAACAATATTCCCTTCTCAACCTACAGTATTCCCCTCTTTAACAACAGACAATGTAAAAATGCGTATTCTACAATGGAATATAAATGGCCTACTCCATAACTACCCTGATTTAAATATCCTTATTAATGAATTTCGTTCAGAAATTATATCACTTCAAGAAACCCATATTCCTTTCAATAAAAAAGTTTACCCTCCTAATAAATATCACAGTTACTTCCACAATAGTATACAAAACTTATACGTCAAACAAGAATTGCAATTTTCATTAAGAAATCCGTAAATCATAAGCAAATTCCAATCGTAAGCAACATCTCTTGCCTAGCTATCGAAATTAAATTTGGATTCAAATTCACAATTATTAATTGCTACGTCCCACCTCATCCAAATTTGGCTTATAGAGAACTTGACAATATTCTAAATAATTTCCTATACCTATCATTATAATGGGAGACTTTAATGCATGGAGTCCACTGTGGGGATCACCGACAGTGAATAAAAGAGGCGAAATCTTTTTTTATATGGTCTTATTGTACTAAATGATGGTAAACCAACCCACTTCTCTACGTACCTTTACACATCCCGACATTATCCTTGCCTCATCCCCAATAGCACCCAAACTCTCATCGCATACAATCGATGACCTTCACAGTAGCGATCACTTTCCTATAATCACATGCATATCCATCCCCAAATCGTACAACGTTAAGCCAAGGTCCAAATTTCTAACCGAAAAGGCAAACTTGGAAAAATTCAGTATTATTATTATACCCTCAAGTTTATCCAATAGTAGGCGCTCTAGAGAAAATGTAAATGCTGAAGCATCTGCTATTAAGACTATTATTCGTTCTGCAGCTCATTTAACCATTCCCCAAAATAACACCAAAAGATTTTCAGCAAAACTACCGTATTGGTCTATTTTACTAACTATCCTCTGAAACAGGAAAAAGTCTTTGTGGTCCACATTCGAACACAAGAAAACTGACGTTAATTTAATTTAATATAAAAAGGCCAATGCTAACTTTAGAAAGGAGTTAAAGTTGGCTAAAAGGCAATGATTGAAAAAGCTAACAGCCAATATAAAGCCAACCACTAATCCGAGACAAATATGGCCCGATAAGATGCTAACAGGATCCATACATAGGTTTAGTATATCCCATATTATCCCATATTAATAAGCTATCAGGACCCATTTACACTCCTCAAGAAATTTCGGAAAAATTTGCAGAGACCTGATCATCATACTCCTCTGATACAAACTTCCCTACTACATTTAACGCAATTAAAAAACGAATAAAAAATTAAACCTAATTTAACTCATCGCCTTCTCCAAATGCACTTCACATTGAAGCCGATGTTAACGAGTTCGAATCCACACTTTTGACCCTAAAAGGAAAAACACCCAGTGCTGACAAAATATCCTACCCCATATTAAAAACGTCTCATACTTTTTTAAAGAAAGACTTCTCTACCTCTATAATAAGATACTTAATATTGGTATATCCTTTTGCTTCCACTAACTTGGCATCCCGTAATCACGTTTCAGTACTAAGCTTGGATCTAGGAAAGGCTTTCGATAGGGTTGGAGCTCACATGGTACTCAATGAACTTAAGCGCTAGAAAATCGGAACCAAAATATTTAACATTGTAAAATCCTTCTTGTATAATCGAATATTCATCGTATGCGCCAATAACTGCCAATCTCAGGTTTTCAAATTGAACAATGGTCTACCTCAGGGTTCACCACTCTCCACAACTCTCTTCATCATAGCCTTTAACAAAGTCAGCTGCATAATTAGCTCCAACCCACAAATTCAACACTTTATCTACGCAGACGACGTCTTGATTTTTACAAAAATTAAAAACTTCAACAACAAGTTCATCACATATTTTTGTAAATACTAAATGATGCCAACCAATGGTCCGAAATATCTGGTGTAAAGATTTCATTAAACAAAAGCTCCACATTTCATATTTGTAGAAAACTCAATTGCTCCTTCCCCACCTTTTTAAATTCCCAAATTTCCCAGACTCATAGTTTAAAAATACTAGGTATAATATTTGATATAACTCTTTCTTATAAAGAACATTGTAAATATATTCGATTGATTTTATTTCTAAAGCTAAATATTATAAAGTACTTATCATCCAAAAATTGTTTGTGTCACCCAAACATCCTCATTAATGTCACAAGAGCCTTATTGTTATCGAAAATTTACTATGGACTTGTAATATACGGACACTGTGCCAAAACCCATATCAAACTTTTAAACGCGCAATACCATGCAGCAGCTAGGAGAAGTATTCCTGCATTGCCAACATCACCAATTAAATTAATTTTATTAGAATCCGGATTACCAGATATTCTGCTAAGGACCATACATAACACACTGTTGCTCATCCCAAAATTGCTCCTATGTAGAAACGAGTTAACACTTAATAACGTAAATAGTACCCTCCAATGTTCCCACAGACACAACAAACCTCCAACCATTATGCGTTGTCTCACTATTTCCAAACAACTAGGAATATTTACAAGACCTACATTGGTTGAACCCCCACTCTACGAGCAACACTGAATATGTCCAGATATACAAAGAAACTATACAACCATATACAGCTGATTGGGAGTTTATCTTTACCGACGGATCTAAAAGTGATACCTCCACCACATTTGCTCTGACAAACAAGATTGGTGTCACCATAGCTGTCTTTGTTTTGCCATTGTACTGCTCGATATTTACAGCTGAAACAGCTGCCATATTGGAAGCGGTATTTTTTGCCTCTAGCAATGGAAAGAAAACCATTATTTGCAGCGACAGCAAATCCGCCATAAATGTCATTCTTAACCAATCAAACTATTCCCCCCTGATTACAAAAATAAAGACCCTTATTTATAAATACAACGACATAATCAAAATTATGTGGACACCAGGGCATGCAGGAATTCAAGGCAACGAAGTGGCTGACAATTGGGCGAAAGAAACAAACAAAAAACTTCTACATGCGTCTCCATACTTTACCACAAAAGATATTAAGAATTATGTTAAACAACACATCACCGACTGTTGTCTAAACAATTGGAGACACAGCAATCATCACTATAAACTCTCAAACCCATCTGGACAAAAACCTCAGTATTATAATACCATCACCCGTAAAAATATAAAAACATTCATACGCATCACTTACTACACATGGACACCTCTTGAATGGTACAAACAAACCCATATGACCTTCTTGTGGCTCGAAAGGCTTCACAACCTCATATCTCAGATAGCTGCCCTCACTTACAACAACACAGAGCCTTCATATTTGACGATAACAAACCATCTGACTTACTCAATCGGACAGATGACAATAACATTAACCTTTTTGTAAAATACTTTCAAATTTGTAAGTTAAATATCTAAAACACAAATAATTATAGTACAAACTAAACTTAAATTTGCCTTAGACTTAAGTAATATATAATAATTGGAATATTTTAATCTGTAAATTTAAATTAAGCTTAAGGCCCTAGCAGCCAGTGCTTTATATATAAACAAGTGTAATAATTATTTATAGTTATTTCTCTCTTAAATAAAAATAAAAAATATATATTCGATGCTTCCAAATAAAATAACAGTAACAAGACCAACTTTTTTCTATTCAGCAACAAACTTTCTCGGCGTAGCAGTTCACGAATTTGGGCACTCCTTGGGTCTCGGACATTCCTCTGACCAAAACGCTATTATGTATCCATGGTATCATGATAATGAAGTTGACATTAATCTTCCTGCTGACGATCGCAATGCCATTCAACAGTTGTATGGTTCAAAAGATAAGACATGGGGACCCTTTAAACCTCAAAATCGACCAAAAACTCCACCCACAACAACAACTACTACAACCACTACACGACGACCTCTAGTATATTATCCACACCGACCCAACGAACCTTACGACCCACGACGAAGGTATCCTTATAACAACAATCCACACCAACGTGATCGTGAACCTCCAACCACAACGACTTATAGGCCACGCACTGACTCCGCTTCCTACCCAACCAGAAGTTGGTATCCGCGTCGTCAACCAACTAAGCCAAAAAAATTGAAGCCCGATACATGTCACACCACTTACGATGCTATTTCGATCATACGTCGAGAAATATTCATATTTCGTGGCCAGGTAAATTGTCTAATAAATATTTTCAACTGCATGAATTTAATTACAACAATCCAAATTTATTTTAATCAATAGTTTCTATGGAGGATTGGTGATCACGGCTTATATCCAGGCTACCCAACAGAAACCCGTCGACTGTGGGCTCAGTTACCTGAGAACTACTCCAAAGTCGATGCGGTATATGAAAACAAAGAGCGAAAAATTGTTTTCTTTATTGGTAAGATCGGCAATGTCAATATTTTTATTAAAAAGGACAAAATATATTTTATATAAAGAAACTATTAATTACTTTTGAGTAAACTTTTAAGTTTGGTAAGGAACATATTACTTCTTTTTAAGAATTGAAGTTAGTATTCAAAAACATTTATAATAGATGTTTGATAATCTTCATCTCAATTTTTTTCCTCTACTATAGTTGAATAGTCATATTCAATAATCAACTTACCCTTTTTCTTTGTTCTAGGTCGTTACTACTTTGTCTTCGATTCAGTTACGTTAGTTCGTGGTTATCCGCGACCACTCACCTATTTAGGACTACCGCAATCGCTTACCCACATAGATGCCGCTTTCGTTTGGGGCTACAATAACCGCACATATCTCACCAGTGGCACTTTATATTGGCGATTAGATGAGGATACCGGGCGTGTCGAATTAGACTATCCTCGCGACATGTCTATTTGGCGTGGTATTGGTTACAACATAGACGCCGCCTTCAAGTATAGTAATGGTAAAACGTATTTCTTCAAAGGCTACGGCTACTGGGAGTTCAACGACGACTTAATGGAAGTTGCGCACCCACGTCCAAAGCTCAATGCACGCAAGTGGATGCACTGTCCACGCCTCGTCAACGAAGTCGATGAGGAGCAAACGTGGACAGCGCCACTCATATCCGAACGAAATGAAACAATGATTTACTATTCGCCTACTAGCACTGCCAGTTGGAATCAGGCCGAACGGGGGATGGCTCTCTGGATTGCCCTTTTCCTGATATCGTGCTGGTTCTGGACAAATATATCATCGACTACAGTCTGATAAGCCTATAAACGCAACATTTACCATAATGAATTTGAGTTTTAAAAATCAACGTATTTTCATAGATATCCTGATATATTAAATGCGGTCTTAGTTAAGTACATTGCGTCGTCATACACCTACATACATGTGTATACCGTAGACATTCAAACAAAATCATAGAATTAGTAATTTAGTATGTCATAAGTACCATATACAAGTATAAGCATATCCGAAAACTTGTCGTTGGAGGAAAATAGTTCATTTACACTAAATTTGCATAATTCACTAGTTCTGTACATAAGAATAAATATAAATAAATTCAGACTCACAATTAGACATAAGTACACGCACATACTTTACAGATCTCAAAGGAAAAGTAAAATAAACCATGTGTTTAGATAAACATATTACGCGACTCGAAATGCTTACGTTTATGCCATTATTATGGAGCAAATTTCAGCAAGTACGAATTGGCCAAGTTCAGACAGAACCGGGCATTACATATTCTTGACCAGATTTTAAACACGAAAATAGTTAGTTTCGAGGTTACCAATATTTTGCCCCCGTTTATGCCATTACGCACTTATGCTAGATTTATTTTTATTAAATTTATCAGAGTTAATACCTAAGTAAAATATTTGCAAAAAGTGTCTTCTCTTTTTGTATAATTAAAAAAATTTATTGCAGGAAGAACCAAAATGTGCCCTATCCCAGTTTAAAGAATATTTGTACATTTCTGTCTCAATAATCTTACCTAAACAGACCTAATTCTTATGTAATGCTATGCCCCAAAACTGAAAAGTTGCACATATTTAGTTTCGTAATAAACTCGGCGTAGCTCACTTTTCTATTCAATCTGTAAATCTATTGTTTTTGTTGTGGCCCGGATATTCGGATCCGTTTCATTTGCGTAGAACCGATTATCGGGAGAAGGTAGTGGGAGTGCATAACATTAAAGATTTGGCTGATATCCAAAATTAAATGAAATAGCTTAGATGTATTAACAGTTCCCGCTTTAAGGACTAAGGCAATATGCTTATATATTTCCCTTGCCACATAACTTAAATTTATCTTCATTTAATCGCTCCTTATTCTTACGAGGTTCTTTGGGTATGCATGATCTACAATTCGTCTAGACTTAACACTTTTTTACTTGTTAATAACTATTTATATTTAAGTATATTCTATTCAAAATCACTAAAGCTGTATTTTCCATGTACAATTAAGAATATTGCAATGCATTACATAACTACGTATACATACATATAGGCTTTTACAATTTTTTTTACTTGAATTATTAAATAAACATGAAATATGTGATATTACCCTAGTTAAGTCAATGCCAGCAAATGTTTGCATTCATCTGTTTTCATCATGTGTAGATTAAACTAAGATCCACAAATTTAGTTTAATATAATTTTAAAAAAATACATATATATATTTCGTAAATAAATATTAATAATATTATTGAAACCCCAATTGCTTTAAATTCATGGTGAAGAAACTTTAATTGTACAAGCAAGTATGACCTTTTGACTATCTATCACGGGTCTGACATTATACACTAAGAATTAAACAAAAAATTAAGGAAGAGATAAGATATTTATCAAAAACTATATTTTATTGTTCTAAAATTTCAGGAAATAATATAATATAATATATACAACATTATCTCTTAAGTGAAGACCTGAGAATTTGCAGCATTTTTCTCTCTCTGCTAATCGTTTTATTAAATATTATTAAATATACATATGTTAAATTAATAGCCAAAACGTTTTCAGCTTTAGTGGTTGTAAGATGATTTTAGATAAGTCAATTTAATGGAATAATTTTTGTGCAACTTACTTTTGGGGAAACAATGTATGGCAGTCCGCCTTTCCAGACTTACTACGATACAGAATATAACGAACAAGTAAGGAAGTTCTAAGTTCGAGTATAACCGAACATTTTATACTCTCGCAACTTGCAAGGATCAAAGCGAGGGAAATTACATCAGGTGTTAGCAAAATTTTATATCAAAGGAAGTATTGATCCGATTCAACCAATTTTTGACACAAAGACATACTACAATATTATCGAGAGTTTCATTTATTTATTTTATTATATTAATTATAATTATATATCTTATACATTGACCGATATTTTCGGTAAAAAGTCAACTATAGGCACTGGGGTCCACATATTCAGTACCTAGAGGCTTGAACAGTTATAGTTCGATTTAGACAATTTTTGATCACAAGGTGGCATACTTTAAACGTGTTATTCACGCAAAGTTTTACGCCGGTATAATCATTGTTGCTTGATTTGCATAGTGGAAAATGAAAGAATCAGATGGAATTTAAAATGATGTTATATGGGAAATAAGCGTAGTTGTAATCCGATTTCGCCAATTTTCGCACTATAACATAGAAATATGAGAAGAATATTATGTACCGAAGTTGATGAAAATCGGTTAAGCAGATCCCAAGATATGCGTTTTCACCTAAAAGTGGGCGGTGGCACCCCTACTTACCATAGATATTATAGATTTCTTCAGCTCAAAGTTAAAATATCATAATTTAAAATGCCTTCTTGAGTTTGTGGTAACGTTACTTCATCTCATTTAGTAAAAAATAAAATGATTCCTTATTTAAACGAAAATAACTTTTGATTCTGCCAAACCACTATTTTTAAACATCATTTAATTGTCAATAAAACTTTGGCTTACTTGATATTAGGAAGTTCGAATGGATTTGAGTGATCACGAAGGTTTTTTCTTATGCGCAGCACATCAGTTTTGTCCCCAAAATGTGGATCATCGTAATATTAATCTAATGTAATAAATAAAATGGGCATTAGCATTTTATAAATTATTCACCTTTTCGTGAAAAATAACTAAATTAAATTTTGATTTTTCCTTTAAAAATTTTCAACTGTTTAATTATCTGTCAAATCTTCATTTTTTAGGTTGTCAACGCATATCAAACTTCGACTGAAAATAGTGGAAAATCGTAATACCAAATAAGAGTTAGGTAGATTTGAAGTTAAATTGCTTTCATATTCCTTTTCTACAGTGCCCTTGCCACGCCTTCATGAGACGTATTACCCCAACGAACTTTCGATCTCTGAGGTTAACTGATACAAAGGAGTATTAGTTGATTTGACTGCTCTGTAAGCATGCTGACTCGCATGTAGGGGTGCAGCTTTCAGCGCCTTCGATCTTATTTCGTAATCTATGATCTTTTCCATACTCTTTAGTAAGAAGGAAGTTAAACAAATCGGCCAATGAACTACTTTGGGTATGAAGATCACCTTTGCAGTGCGCCACGGTTCCGGATATGAGCCTGCGCTAGGCTAGCTCTCATCAGCCGAACAAAGTGGGGCAAGTAGATCTGATCCACCGCTGCAGAAGTGCTCGAAAGATGCCATCCGTCCCCGGAGACCTAAATTTCGCAAACGAAGCCATAGCCCACTTGATCGAGTCCACAGTAAACAGCTGTCTTGTGACACTCCAATCAAAGCGAGATGGCTTGTTGACACAGTGCCGTACCTCTTTCTCCTGCACTGGTCGTATATGTCCCGTCCCATTTTTGATCTCTAATGATGTGTCAGTCTTGCGCCTGGCCAGAGCCCTGGGAAACCTAGCTGCCTCCGGTGTATCTTCATCTTGGTCTTACGACCCTTGGCTCAACGCGGTGAGCTGTCGAGTCAAGGGGAACGCAAAGGTCTACCGCGCCAGAGCCCATGACGCGGTAAGGCCACCGTTACTTCCAATTGCGGCCCGGTGTTGGGTAGGCTCCGTTAGAATACAGCCGAATCTCCAAGTGGCACCCCTCACATTCGTTGGGAGATATTTTGGGAGAAATTTGCACATTCTTTTCACTATCATTTAACAAATCTACTTTCTGGAAGTTTATATTTCTCAACAAAGTAATATGTGCACAGAGATACACGATCAGGTGAAAACTTAATGAACTGTGGACAATTTCCATTTCGTTAAGTACGTCCCCAAAAATTTTACACACTGAGCACATACCAATTAAAAATACGTTTCCAACTCACTGTCGATAGCTTTCACTCGCCAAAAGTGACAACGTCGCTGCTAGTTGAAGTATTGATGGTACTACGGTTGATAAATGCCTTTTAAATTTTAATTCCGATAGGATGAAACTAAATGCATCTTAGGTCATTCCAAACCGCTATATGAATCGTTAAATGATTTAAAATACTCATTTAAATAGTAAAAATATACATTGTCTTACGGTGGGCTATTGCCAAGCCCTCAAAAAACCACCCTAATAGATTTTATGTACACATACATCTCCCAAACCCCTTAAGCTGAATCAATCAAAATTGCTCAGAACAATTTTTTTACACATAGACGTTTATACGTATTACCCCACCCACTCCAAATATGTATAACGGTTATGTTGAAAACTACGATAAGTCAACAACTCGTTTACGTTAGAGACATTAAATTTTGTACCCGAAATGATACAAGAGATACAGAGATTCATAGGAGCCGGTATCAAAATGGACCATACGCATGGGAGTGCCCATCTATAGTTGAAAACCCATATCCCATAACTAAACAAATTCGGTATTATTATTATTCTGACATTAATATATTACAAATCAAGCATCAATAAATTTATCGGGATAAAACTTTGCACAAATTGTGCCTTTAGCTATGTAATCTCAAGTCTAAAAATTGTCAAAATCGTACCATAAGTGTTCAAGCCAATAGTCAATACTTCCCTAGCCGCCATCATCTAATATTATATATAAAGACTTTCGAGCTCCGTTTGATAGTATTATAATGATTGAACGCTATTTTCGGTAAAAAGTCAGCCGTCTCGTCATGAGATGAGAGATATTCCCTCTGGTGGTTGAAAGAATTTCGAAATATAAAAGTGAAACAGTAGTGTGCAGAGGACATCACCCTGTGAAATCCCTTATTTAATTTTTCTTTGTTCAGGATTATTTCTCGAAACAGCACCAATGATAGCCGACGGAGATGATTGATGGTCCATCTCTTTAGCCCTTAGGAAGTGAAGATTTTTGTTGTGATTTCAACCATTCTTTTTAACGGATCAGAAGAATACGGAGAAACCCTGCTACAAGGTATTGGTCCACGGAAGACGAACTTAACTTAGTACTTACCGATCAAAACAAAACATTGCAGTCACACAAAATTACAGCCCTTGGAATTCAAATCGATTCCGATAACGTAGAAATAACTGTTGTGGGAATAGTGTGTAACCGCAACCATTTTGATAGTCTGCCAAACTATGATGGTGTTAGAAAGTCGGGAGCAGCAAGAAATTACTTTCCTAGGTTAATCGGTTTCCCAGTTTTCAGTAATGAGAAAGTACAAAGCTTACTGACTTTTTAAAAAAATCTGATATCTTCACTTGAGAATTTTTGATTGAAAATTAGAACTTTTTTCTAGGTATATTAGGTCAATATAAGAAGGAAAAATAAATATTTTATTTCAAATTAAAAAAAACAGTATGTAAGAGGGTTTACCCAAAATTTCGTGAAATGAAGAAAATACGTGTACAAGATAATTGAAAAAAAAACTGGGTTATTTGAATTTTTGACACATATTCCGAGGTTATGTGAAAAAGTCTATATACAAGAGTTATAGATCTTTTAATTACATACAACTTTGACATATAACTTTTTTCTATAGGAAATCGAGATAAACCGTTAAAAATCAACCACGCCCCTTCTCTTCCCGACCACAGATCGTCCGTAAAATTTTTTTTCCTTAATGTTTGTTATTTTATCTTTCGTTTCCGATGGGTTTCACCGCACTATGAATTTCTTTTTTTTATCATTTTTAAAGAGTTCAGCACTAGTCTGTTTAAGAAAAATACAATTTTATTTGCCATGAATTTTTATTGTTGTTATATTTATATTTTATAAAGTCTCTCACTCCTACATACTTAATATTTAATAAATAAAATAAAATTCCATTGTTAAGTATGTATATTTATATTTGAAACAAAAAGCTCTTTACGTGTGCTGATGATAAACGCATTCGAACTGCAAGAAATATTAATTTTGCTCCAATTATGACTTGTTATATTGTTTTATATTTTCCACATGGAAAATAATGGTATTCTAGATTATAAAGGACAGAAAGTAATATTTATTCGTATTAATTTATATCAAAAAATATTAAACAATAGTTGTATTGAATTCAAAGAGCAGGTTGTTTTAGGGTATAGTATAACGCACATACGGCACTTCAACATCCTCACCATCCTCGTCATTGCAACAAATCTCAAATACCAAGGAGCGTTCATGTGATTCAATACGTTTTCGCGAGACTCGTCGAACCACTTCAGTCATGGGTAGAGGCAAACGTTCTGCACATTTAGCTTTCGGCATGAAGAACGAATAAAGCATCGAAACGCCCTGGGATAACATCGTTATTTGCAATTTCTCTTTCTTTTCAAAATAATCGAGAAATTCTTGCAGCGTTAGCTCTCCAGCAACTTCAAAACGATCCCACAGCGTCCACTCCTTGCCATAATACGAATTCTTTGCGGCAGGCATTGGCTCTGAGAATGCTATGAAAGGTAATGCCAAGTTTGCAAAAGCATTTTTAAATTTGTCCATTTCCCTATGTCTGTAAAGGCAATAAAACATAGATGTTTCAAATTCATCACGGTTTTTATATTGATTTTAGTTACCCTATAATCAGTTTCATAACTTCGAGAACAGCCAAGCCAGAGACGAGTGATGTAGTTGTGGCAATTGCTGGAATGATTTTTCCAGCGATTAATTTAGACTTGTGTCGATCAGCTGGAGGAATCTTATAATTAGCAGCACGCAGATTAGATGCTGCCACTATAAAGTCCATATGGAAATTATTATCATCGTCTTTTTCGAATTCCAATGGTTTAACCACCAGCAACGTTTTGCTTTCCCGCAGAGCCTTTAATTCAGTTAAAATTTTGTTTACGCGATCTTGGTCAACATCTGAGCTGTCGAAATTGTTAGCTGCTGCAGCAGCAGCACTCTCGTTAGTTTCAATTTTTACACCAGAACGTGGTTTGAACTCTGCAACCTGCAAAATATGAATTTATATACAAGTACATTTTATATTCTTCCAAATTGCAAGGTTCAAAGCCGGCGAAATACTTATACATAGGTGTTGGCAAAACTTTATATTAAAAAATGTTGCTGAAGAATTCAACATTATTTATTCGACGAAATCGTGAATGAATAACAATCAAATTTGGTATCTTATTAATTTATATTGAAGGTCAGGGCTCACTTAGTTTTATTAATAAATTTTAATCGCGTAGACGAAAATTGTATTAAAATAATCCTTAAATGAGAACTTCCGAAAGGCTAAATTTAATATATTGAGTTGATTTGGAAAACGTCAATCAGAGGATCGAGATTCTTTTTGTTAGGGATATGAGGTACCCTTACCATCCTCAATATATATATATGGAGTAAAGTCAGCCGGATGTTCGAATATCGTGATATTAGTTATACGGGGCTAGTGCCAGTTTTCACCCAATTTTATCCGTTTTATGCAAAAAAAAATATATTGTTACTGGTAAAAAACGCTCTCGTTTTCACTAAGGTAATTCACAAATTGGCCGATATATAGTATCAAATAAACCGCAAGTTCGAAAATCTTCGTGCTAGGTATATGGCGGCTAAGAGAATCCTTCACTCGATTCAACCCATATTTGTCTTACAGGCATACTGTTATCAGGGAAGGATTTGCCCCGAATTTCAAGAACACATATCTCACAGATTAACCGATATTTCGATAAAATCCCTGTAGGAACTGGGGTCCACATATTCGGTATCTTGAACAGTTGTAATCCGATTTTGACAATTTTTGATCATATGGGGACCTACTTTAAGCAACCTATTCCAGCAAAGTTTTATCGCGATACATTCATTGGTGCTTGATTTGATTTAAAATTGTGTTATACGGGAAGTAGGCGTGGTTGTAGTCCGATTTCAACCATTTCCGCTTCGTAATATGGGAAAGTCAATGATATATTACATAACAAATTTGGTCGAAATCGGTCGAGTATGTAGATATGGATTTTCACCTAAATGTGGTATTTTATGTTTTCGATTTATGGCGTTTTGTGGACGTGGCAGTGGTCCGATTATGCCCATCTACGAACTCGCGCTCACTTTTGAAACACGTGTAAGTTTCATTACGATATCTTAATTTTTTCTCAAATTATTGCTTGCACAGACAGACGGACGAACAGACAGACATCTGAATTTCAACTCGCCTGGTCATCATGATCATTTATATATATACAACTCCATATCTCGCTCTATTAGTTTTAGATGAGACAAACAACCGTTAGGTGAACAACTATACTCTGTAGAAACATGTTGCAAGAGTATAAAAATATATATAGCGTGATGAAAATGAATAGTATTTATTTATTTAAAAAATATATTTATAATTATTATTATTTTTCGTTTACCTTTACTTCCTTAACAAGGTTTGCTACTTGCTGCCTATCACGCACTTGCTCGATCCCGTACATCTCTGCGCGTAAATTAGCCGCTGCATATATGTAATCTAAATGCAGATCGTCGTTAATATCGAAAAGTAAGGGTTGAGGACAACGTTTCGGGCCGGACCAAAATGGTTGCCCACTAGACGTTATTTGATCTGGTGGGAAATTATACAGCAATTGTTTGATTTGATTTGCATAGTGCTCTTCCCAATGATTTCTAGCCCATTTGATGCAATCCAAGAAGTTCGTAGACCTTTCATCAACTAATGCTTTCTAAATGTTTAATTATAAAAAAGTTAATCAGTTTTTTATTTATGCACTTATCAATCTTACCTTAACTGATTCTAAGATTTCTAGCGGCCGAATACCTTGCAGTTTAATGATGCGTTCAATGAAATTTGGATCTGACAAGTATTGTGCAGCATTTTCAGGAGACTGCGTAAACAAGCCTTCAAACATATCGCGCGCCCATTGCAACGTGTGTTCAATTGCATTCGGAAAGTTCTTTAGTGTACAAATCGGGATACTCTTCTCAGGAGGATCTTGCGATGAACTATACGACTCAGTTAAAAACGGTACAATAACTTGCACGTTGCCCATTGTGCCAAGAGTACCGGACTCCACCAATGGCAAACGATTGAATACACACTTGCGGTCCATATAAATACGAGCGTCCACATTGTCTAATGCATTAGCTACACCATTTAATTTTCCGAAAAATTCTTCGGAAAATACTTTTTCTGTTTCGGATCCAACACGCAACTCATACGCAGTGACTTTAATTTCCGGATTCATTTTCTTAATGGCATTTGCGGCAGTTTTCGCCTTTGCCTTCTGTACATCATGCGGTCGAAATAGGAATTGACGATTCAAATTCGATTTTTCGATTAAATCCATATCGGTTATAACTATTTCTCCATCCCGAGCACCAACTCCGATCATTGCGAAATTTTTAAGCAACTCGCAACCAATAGCTCCAGCTCCAACGATGAAATATCTGTAATAAGACAAAAATTATTATCTTCGAAATATATAAATATATATATCACCCACCTTGCGTCACCCAATTTTTCCTGGAAAGTTTTTCCAAAAATTGCGATTTGTGCGTCGTAACGCGAACCTATCGGCTGAGCGTCTGCTTCCTCAACACCGTTAGGGGGCAGACACTCAATAGCATCATAATACAACCATTGATATATGGGTGTGAATTTCCCTGTGCATGCCTTAAGAACTTCTTGTGCAACAAATCCGCCAATTGCTGCGTCTATAGGGCTAGTGTTACCAGAACATGTCTTAGCAAATAAAGAAACTACGTTATCGTTAATGTCCGCGTTGACAGATTTGCACATTTGTAAAAAATTTTGCGCATCTTCCTCATTCCATGGGCGTGGCGGCTTTCCAACTTGCTCAATATATTTGTGTAAGGCAGAAAAAGCAATATGTAAAGAAGTTGGATGATCAAATTTAGCAAAGTCAGACACTAAGAACTCAGGTTCTTTCTCAGATTCTTCAAGGGATTTGAAATTCACAACTTTGGGCATCTTTACTTGTGTAGCAATTCCGCCAGAGACGTATTCACTAAATTTACTGGTGTCACCAATGCTAAATGTATATGGACCCAATACACTGATTTTAATCGGATCGCAGCCATTTAACTCAATCATCCCTTGAACTTCGCTGAAGGTCACATAATCACCATCATTCAACCCATGACGAGTTTCATCCAAACAAGTTATCACTCCCTGAGAATCATGAGTAATACTTGCTATCATGGTGGAAATGGGCTGAGAGCCATCCTGATCGTATATTGTGAAATTCTCTCCAAAGTCACAGAAAATTTTCGCGAAGAGTCCATGCGTTTCAGCTATGATCAGTGCTATGCCATTTTCGTGAGCAAATTTTGCAATGCGATGTTGTTCATTGTCATCGGAATCTGTCAGTACAATAACACGAAACTGCTGCAAAAAATCTTCGGTTAACTCGCCAGTATATGCGGTTGTCCGAACATAATTGTTCAACTCAGCCAATTGGTTACAAGAAGCTTCTGCACGATTGCGACCTACATCCGATTCACTTAGATAAAATTGCGATGCCAAATCACGAATCTGCAAAAGACATGCAAATATATTAATTTCATTCTTTTTTTGGTTTTCAGAGATATTTAAAAATAAAAAATTGCGAAAGAATTCATTCCTTATTCGACGAAATCGTAAATGGATAACAATGAAATTTGGTATCTTATTAACTTATAATGAAGATCATGTACTCACGCAGTTTTTTAATATATTTAAATGGCTTCTACGATATTACGCATTATATAATATTACATTATCCTTAAATGAGAAATATGTGATATAAACTCAACCGAAGGTGCTAAATTTAATATACTTAGTTCATGTAGAAAACGTCAACCAGAGAATCGAAATAATTTATATTAGGGATATGAGGTTTAGGCCGAGGTCTATATCAATTCCATTGTTGTTGTAGTAGCCCCAGAAATCATTCCTAAAGTTATTTCGAGGAATAGTGCCGTGTTGACAGTCCTTGGCCGGATAAAAATCCTGATTCGTTCCGGTTACTTAGACCCGACTGTCGAGGGAATGATTCATATTCAGTGGAAAACCATATATTTTTCAAGGAAACTTGTTCTTAACTTCATTCAAATATCGACCTCAGCGGTATAGTCAGGTGAAAAAGTGAAAATCATTATACTTATATGCTATATTTGGGACAGAGAAAGGGACGGGCTGATTGCATTAATTTGGTCAGGTATACATATTTTCAACCAATTTTATAAATATATAACTCACACACTGAACGACATATTCGGCATAAGGCTGTTTAGAAAATCTTTATATGTAGTTGTTGTTGTTGCTGCTGCAGCCGCAAAATTCTGCGGGGTTGACAGACCTTGGCCGGATAAAAACCGGATCCGTTCCAGTTACATAGACCCGACTGTCGTGGAAACGGCTTAATATATAGTATATGGGAGTGGTGGTAATTCTTATATAGGGTTGGTAATAAGGGCAACCGAAAGTTTGAAAACCTATATTAGGTATAATGGGTCTAAGGGATGTATTGCGAATTTATCTATTTTTGGCAATACCACATACTTGCATAATTATATGTTTCCTTTCATTAAGGTATACTTACCATCACCAATATACCCAGTGGAATTTGCGTTTCAGTCCAAAAAATATGGGTATGGATATAAAGAAATGTGTTTTTGATTAAACATGACAATTACCCTACACATATGTACATATGTACAACCCATTATTTTTTAACCGCAAAACATTTGCTAACACCTTTAAAATTACCCCAATTAAATCCCAGTCCCAGTAGAAGCAGCCTCTTCTATATTTTGTATATCCTAAAAAAAACAAGTTGTTCATTACAATAGTAGTGCTTGTCACTAGGGATCGATAAATAAAATAATGATTAGATATTTGCGATAAGTAAGTGTATTTAAGGGATTTAATAATTTTCTAATATTCTAATATCTAATAATCTAAGATATTCTTACTTCGAGAAGCGTGAATTGGCCTAGATAGATAGATAGATAGCAGAAACTGCTTGGAGAGGAGCTCGTTATGTTCCTTAACTGGAAGCATATGGGCCTCACAGTGTAGGTGTTCGATTGGAGACATCAAGAGTCATCCCGTGACAGTCCGGAGTGCAGTGTTCTGACAGGCCTGAAGCTGCTTCATCTGCGTGGCACTGCATCCAGGCGACCATATTGGGGCTGCATAATTTAGGACCGGCCGGCCGATTGCCTTGTATGTTGCCAGCAACGTTTCTTTGTCTTTTCCCCAAGAGCTGTCGGCAAGCGATTTGAGGATTTTGTTGCGTCTCTGTACTTTGGCAGTTATCGCGGTCGTGTGAAGAGTAAAGGAGCAAAGACTTCTAGTGTAACGCCTAAAATTTTAGGGCTGTTTACCGTCGGAATTTTGGTGCCATCGACGGAAATGTTTAGATCCAGTCTGTACTCGTCCAGTTTGTAAGAGAAGAAGCGAGAAAGATCAGAGAGATAGCTGTTTACTGTCGAGCACATGCCATCGATTCCATTGCCCGACGTCAATATCGTGCAGTCATCAGCGTACGAGGTCACGGAAATTCCCTCTGGTGGTTGGGGGAGTTTCGAGATGTAGAAATTAAACAATAAAGGGGAGAGGACACCACCCTGCGGAACCCCCTGTTTAATTCTTCTCAGTTGGGTGTTTCGACCTCGAAATAGTACGGATGATTGCCGACTGCTCAGGTAGTTCATGGTGCACCGCTTCAGCCCTGAAGGGAGCGTAGATTGTTCGATGTCCTCGAGTAGCGTTGTGTGGTTGACTGTGTTGAATTCTTTCGACAAGTTCAACGCTACGAGGATCGTCCTCTTGCAGGCTTCTGGTTTAAGCCATGAATTATCTGGGAGTTAATGGCGCTAAGTGCTGTGGTGGTGCTGTGCACTTTCCGGAAGCCATGCTGATGTTTTGCTAGGCTGAGGTGGTGAGTGAACGTCGGGAGTAACAAGGCATCAAGTGTCTTCACTACTGGGGAAAGGAGAGTTATCGGGCGATAAGACTCCCCTTTGTTGGCGGGTTTCCCAGGTTTCAGTAGTGGGACCACTCTTCCGACCTTCCACACATCGGGTATTTGAAGAGTGGCCATCGACAAGTTGAGGACCTTGGTGAGATAGTTTACTCCCGTCGAGTCTAGGTGTTTTAGCATCAGAATGCTTATTCCGTCAGGGCCAATGGATTTGGACGATTTGGCTTTTGTGATGGCATTCTGAACCTCCCCATCGGTGAAAGTAAGTGGCGCGCGGCCTTTTGGCATTTTGCGCAGCCGTCGTTTGGCCTTGTCAGTTGTTGTTGTAACGGTTACCTAGTCCCCGTTTGGGTGATAAATTCCAGATTCGTTGTTGTTGTTGTTGTTGTAGCGACAGAATTCTGCCGAGTTGACAGTCCTTGACCGGAATAAATCCGGGTCCGTTCCTGTTACGTAGACCCGACTGTCGTGGGATTCGGCGAGGGTCACTCTGGTTTCGCGATCTAACCCTGGCCTTGTCAGTCGAAGGGTGCAGTGTAAACTGCCGGCTAAAATAGCTCGCGCGCTTCTTCGGGTCCGAGAAGGCATGGCCATCGAATTGAATTTCAACCCGATCCTCATGTCTCCTCGGATTTGACAGGGCCTTGACAGTAGTCCAAAGCTTACTCACACCGGTGGAGAGGTTGCAGGACTTCAGGTGCTCTATCCATTTTGTCCGCTTATGATGGTTTACCATTTGCCGAATCTCCAAATTGAGATCCCTTATTGGGGGATCACAGCGATCGGCATGGCGTAAGGTGTCGCGCTCATTTGCTAGTACAGCTGCTTCGGCTGGGAAATTTGGGCGAAGTTCCGCGATTCTTCCAGCCGGTATGAAGCGAGCAGTAGCAGCGGCGATCACCTTGCGGAATTGACGCTCGCCAACGATGATGTCCGT